GGAGAGGTGTCAGTAGCCCTGGAGTTGTGTGCAGCGGGCTGATGATGGTGAATACACCAGAACGGTACTAATGAATTCTGTTGGCTATCAACGGACATTGATCAACGACTTTGTAAGCCGCAGGGAGTTCCAGATGTCTCTTGACAGACTTGGCCTCTGAGTACCATGCCTCAAGCGTCAATCTTTCAGCTTTTAAGGTTCCCCGGCCTACCATCGTCGTTCCTTGAATATCGAAGTTGTGGCCAGTCTCTCCAATATGTGCTGTAAGCTGTGAGTTTGGTTGTAGCCTCAGGGCCATCGTTTTGTGTTCCTATAGGCGGGCCTGCAAATTGCGTCCAGTTTCTCCAACGTAATTACAGGCCCCATCGCTGCAACGTATTTTTTAGACGAATGCAGATCTACTCACAGGCCAACTCTGTCAAAAATTGACCAAAGAATTGATTTTTTTTGGTGGGACAGCAGAATTGGGAATTTTCTGCTTTTAGGGGCCAAATTTAGCTCACTTGTCTGTTCAAATATCTTCCCATATTGTGGCCTCATGAAGAGTTCAACGTTTATGGTTGACCAATCAACCAAAGCGAAACTCTGCGTTCTCCTTCGTTTGATTCAACCGTTGTCACAAAATGTCGTTGAGGCGTAAGTGCCACATAAAGCTAATGGCGAAGCAGCAAATTCGCTAATAAAGTAAATTTGTCGGAAAAAGTTCATCGTTCCTAAACGCGACGCCTTTCGCAAACTAATGGGGCAGGATGGGCTAATTAAGAAGGTATTTGGAGAATTAATGCTGGGCACCTACGAGCCAATCAGGATAAGGCTTGCTAAAAATACCAGTGCAGTATGCGGTTCAACTAATTTTAGACAGAACAACTTGGTGAATCGTTTGCCAACGGTCGCGGGTTAAAATACTGACAAAATTTTGTTCAAAGCAATCGGCAGATGAGGAAAATGGAGGGCTTGTTGATGACTAGAACCTTTTTTAACATATTCGAGGTTTCGAGCTTATACATGCGTACAATATCAGAGCGGCAGTTATAGAGAGTGAGGAACCTATTATACATCAGAAAAGTTGAACCGGAGGTGACTGCTCTATAGAATTGATCAAATGTTCGACGTCACAGCCACGAAACAAGTCGGACCGCGTATTATTTGAAACTTGAACTTCCGAAAGTAACTATCGATCGACGCATTGGTCTGCTACCTATATACAGGGCCCTGCGAAGTGACCTCCGCGCTGGCTTTACTAATGCTTGATTGGCTCCTACATCGCAAAACTGCTATTAGTTCTTTACCTCTTCTTTGACCCTTACGATGAACTCCTCTGTGATTTAGAAATCTTAGAAAAAGAAGGAAATGTTTTCGGTGATTGTTTAGCTACCTTCATCCCTACATATATATATCAATGGAATGCAAACATTTGGTTGCAGTTATAGCTTTAAACTCACGTTTTTGTGAAATTGAGCATGGAGATGAACATCCATAGGGTGCAAAACATTAGAAAAAGGTAGAGCAGAGAGACCTCCGGTTTACAGTCGGGTAATTCGGTGCTGTTGGTTGTGGTTAAATTTTCGAGACTTAAATTGAGCGTGGTTTCCTCCGTTAGCAGGGCTGAACGGAGGACACGGGTCAGGGCGCGTGTTAATTGCCTAGCCGGAGGATCTGCCTCGAGCTCGTCGGCCATGGGGTGGAGGGGGGTGGAGTTCAGCACTGTCGGCTTTGGACACTGCTGTTCGCTGCCATTCAGCATTCTCGACTGACAGGAGTAGTAGGTTTCAAATTCTGTGTGAAAAACAGAACAAGTCAGTGGGATGCAGAGCTAGCAGGACAAACAAAACTGACGTGGTATTTTCTTGCCACTTTCGACATGCACAAGGAGGTCGGAGAAGAAGAAGTCATGTTTTACCCTTAACGAGGTCTCGGTAGGCTTCAACGAGGAAGGCAATCGACACGAAAAACGCGAAGATTTCTTCGGTCGATCTGCAATAAAATCAGAGCGGTGATGTAAAAATAAATAGAACTAAACCTCATTAATGTGTGTTTAAAGGAGTCCATAAATGATTGCTATCTTAGCCTGTGAGTAGAGCCGAAATCGTTGCCTTACAATGAAGTGAAAACATATAGGAAATTATCAATATGCGTAGAGATTTGGGTTTTGGTTATGTTATCGCGTTCATCTCCCAAAGGAGAAAAAGAAGGAGAGGGGGCGATTTTATGGACTAAATTGTATCTAAACTGTCGCTTCGGAACCCTTCTCGCTTCCACGTTCAGAGTATTGTATTCGCTGCGTTTTGTGGTCTTGAGTTAGCCTGTCTTGCCGTCTGCCTCGTATTATAGCCGTGCTGGACGCGCAAACTTTGTCTGCCTGTTCATTACCGACGTCACTTCGTAAATTCAAGGTTAGCTGCTAGCGGGTTTGCGTGACCTTTGCCACCTTTGGGGCCAGCGTACTTGTAAGCAAGTCAAAGTGCTCGCTGGCCTTCCCCACATCAACCGGTGGACTGATCATTCGTTGCTGTTCGCTCGAGTTGTTATCCGCTTCGCGGGTACATCGATGACACAATGCTTGATGTTGGATGCGTGACCTCCGGCCTCCACCCCTATTTTCCGTGAGCGTAAGCTTTCGGTCCCGCGTGCTCGTTTGCCCTACCAGCCCTGCCCGAGTTGATCCGAGCCTTGCTTGAGGTGCCTGTTCGGCAAGGTTCAGTTCGGCAGCTTTTGATTGTGCCAGTGGAGGACCAACTTTCTAGCACTAGCCTGGCCATTTTCTCATCGGCCCTGTCGATCACCCTCGCTTTCTCAAAGGCGAAGTCATCGTTCAGCTGTTGCACGTGATCATAGACCAAAAGGAGCTTGTCCTTACGGTTAATTGCAAGTTGTTGTTCGTGCAGTCTTGTGCCCAGGCCTTTGCCTGTTTCTGCAACGATCGCAATTTTTGCATGGTATGCCTTTGACTATGGCTGATATTACCGTTTCTGGTCTATACATCACTCCAATCCCTAGGGGTTCTAGCATTCGTGCAGTCGCTTCTTAAGCGTCTTTCACGTAGGGCAGGGTGAGTCAGAATTTCGGCTTTTATTCGCTCGACCGATGAAGGCGAGGTTTCTTGAGGCACTTGCAGCTGAAGGACTTGGGATAATCGTTGGCTTTAAAAAAGGGCATGTAAGTACTCCATCTCCTCCTGCTCCACATCGTCGTCGTTACAGCATGATTGAACACGTTGGAAGAGGCTTCTGACGCAACTGCGTTTGTGACGAACAGAGTGGTTACTTTGGAAGTGGAGAAGGTGTCTGGCGTTAGTTGTTTTACGGTAGACCGTTGTTCTTATCTTCCCGTCTGCCAGTGTTTTTTTAACTTGGACGTGAAAGAAAGGCAGCTGATTGTTGACTTCTTCTCCTTCTCCCGCCATGATGAACTAGATGTCGGGAAAACTGGACTTCAGCAATGCCTTGAAAGCTTACACGTGGCTCTAATTAATAGGCCCTTCGCGTCTCCGTCTGTGATATGAATATCTGATGACATACGAATGTTCGGCAGCCGTATCTGGCGAGCTCCATCGCGTATTTTAACTGGCTGAAGGCAAACCCGGTGACTTGCGAATGGGCTTCTTATAGGTAATAGTAGTAGGCTTCAAGTGCAGCCAAATTATGGTCCATTATTTTTATTTTTATGGCCAGCTATAACGTCTATTGAGTATTTGGTATCTTTGCTGGAGTATTAACTAGCAAATTTTTTACATTGGGTCGCGTTGCGGCCAAAATACTAGTGAATTTCTACTAAAAGTTAAGGCAGACAAATGTAGACCAAAGGAGAGGCAAGCAAACAAGTTGATTGGTTCTGTAATGGTCTGTTCTCGGATCACTACAATCATCAGGCCAAATCCCAGGTTGGAAGTTTAAATCAGAAGTCACCAGAAGGAGTGGTTTATTGTGTACAGAACTCCCGATTGCTATCCTAGGCGGCAAGTGGCCACTGGCGAAGCCAGGGCTAGTGTTGGCTGCGTCCAGCCAGAACTAAGAGAGAGTGAGAGTGGTGGCAGCTGTTTGAGTAGGATTACGTAGCAAATTCAAGTGCTCTGTTATTGGTGTGTTGCAATTGCTCGAGGGGATGTTGCCTGCAAAGGCCTTTGCCGAGGGATGGTATTCAAGTGGCCCTTAGGCAGGCCTGCTTATTTGGACGCACGTGTGTGCATGACTGAATAGGCTGAGGTCAACTGTGGGGGCCACTGGAAAGCCGAAGGACAGAGGACACTGGCGTAGCTGTTATCAGTTAGCTAAAAGCAGATGCGAGGTCAAGCCCCGGGGGGGAGGGAGCGCCACTTAAAGAAAGCATTGGAAGATTTTTTTGTGACGACGCGTTACTTTGGTGCTGCGAGCCTTAGAGGACGAAGGGGGAACAGGCATTGCGGCCGTCCGCCACGAATGTGCTTCCTGTCTGACTGCTTGCCTTAAGTATGCCGCGGTACGAACGTGCCGCCCCAGAAGAATGCAAGTTTATCTTTGATTTTCAATATGCTTATACCATCAAATATATTTTATGGAAAACATCAACACAAGTATTCCTTTCTGTACTGGCATGGTAGCTAAAAATGCCTATTTCAAATGTTATACTAAACGAAGGGGTTTTCATCAATCCCTAAGGACGAGGAAGAGGAAGGTACGGTGGCATGCACCAAATTATATTGAGAGTGACCTTTCGGACACTCGATTTTTTCCATTGTCAGTCTCCGTCTAATTCGGTCCATGTCATCGCACCTTCTTAATCTTGGGCTTCATTGGGGGGATGATGCTAAAATATCTGGACCTCAAAATTTTACGCATAAGAAAAGAAAGGGCATATATCGGGTTTAATTAGTTTCTAAATTGCCGACTAATTTTGTACTCTGCTAGCTATCACATGCATTCAACGTTAAACAAAGAATAATCACAGTTTGCCAAATCGAACCTCAGCTTGCTACTCATATGGTTTGACAAGATGTAGACGCGAGCGATCGACGTTTCGGAGTTCTTCTTAAACCCATCATCCGAAATTCCCTCAATTTCTTGTTAAACTGCAGGGTCATGTAGAGAGTGGCGTCATCACACAGTATTTGCAGGTTTTAGTGAACCCACCGTGAGACTTGATGGATCCGCTTCTTCTATCTTAGACTAACTGATGATTGCTCAGCAATTGAAAACTAGACTATAGATAGTAGGACAATTTAGCTCCCCAGTTTTTTTAAGATTGTGAGAAAGGGTGTTTTTCAGCGAGCATGCCGTAAAATGCATCTGTACGGAGAGTACAAATACAGATGTTGGATACGCTGCGTTGACGACACATTTGATTTTCGGTCGTAGAGGTTTGCTATATTTGTCTATAAACTTTTCCAGAGGACTAGAAATATCTGTTCTGGGGATATTTTGGACGCAGTATTAGGTTGTCTCAAAGCTACTTTACTGAAGCGTGGATATTCACCTCAGTTTAAAGACAAATATAGCAAACCTTTACGACCGAAAATGAGCGCACGTTTGATGTTATCAACCAGGGCAGAATCAACCACTACAAAGATCGGTTAAACTCGATTTTTTCCGATCTACAGTTTGTAATGGGAGGAGAAATGGAGGACAGACGCTCTTTCCTGGACGTTTTCGTATGCCATTAAATGGAAGGAAAAAATGGCAAAGTCTATCTATCGTTAACTGACAAACACGCAAATATTGTGTTATAATAGCAACCACCCGCTGGAACATACGACAATCTTTATACGCAAGCCACAACCGATGAGCAGAAACCCACTTCAACCGCCAGCTGTCAAACGGGACGAGATAAAGCTACTCCGAGAACATTTCAGACCTAAAGTCTACCCTAAAACCTTAACTGAACGGAATCAAACGCCACCGAAAACACGGACTCAAGAGCTTTGCCTACCAAAGTCGTGGCGGAGTATCCCGTACATGAAAAGGTTCTCCGAAATTGTGCATAGAATTGGGGTTCACTTTTGCGCTTCTCGGAAAAGGGGATGCCCACAGGCCAACATCCACAATCCGGCAACAAGTAATGCGATGAAAAAAACGATAGTGAAGCAGGCGAAATCAGCCATTGTCTAACAACTTCACTGCAGTTTTGAGCATTCTAATTATGTTGGAAAAACCGGCCGACAGCTACAAATGCTAAAGCACGCGCATCAGCTGACTGTAAGGCACTTGGCTTGTACGTTGAATGAAGCTACCTATGCCGCAAAGATTGGGCACGACTTCATCTTTGACGACGTTGAAATTGTGGGCCGAGGTGATAATCACACATGAAGGCGAATGAAAGAAACATGAATATTGACCGACTGTTCGACAAACCGCTACACTTATTTCCCCCTTCCCTGTATTAAGTAGCTCCCTATCAGGGGGCGGACACGGCGTGGAAAAATTGGGGTCGACAACCAGCTCTATGGCCAACATGTATATACGTTAAACACACAAGAGCGAGACGGGCTGACGCGACCAACACATGTGGAGGCGAAACCTACACTAGCGCCACGGTGACAGAAAGGGCCAACAAGGAGGCCGAATGTAAGGTGCGAGAAACATACAGCGGCTCCGTTTGGAATGGTGGAATACGCACATGGAAAAAAGAGCGGCATATTGCGAGAAACATGAGCTGGAGTAGTCATTCTTGCGTCTGGTCACCAGGATTGCTGGTAAACCTGCTTTCTCTTCAGGTGGGTTGCAGTGATAGGAACTGCAATTATACTAGAAAAACAGAGCAGCAATTGCAGACCTGCCTAAATGAACACAAACTAGCAGCTCGGAGGTCAGATCAAAACCCACAATTTTCAACACATATTGCAGAGACTGGCCATATTTTCACATTCAAGTGCGACCATCTTAGGCCAAGGCTTCCCACAGGCTTACAATTTGGAATTCAGATGCCAAGTCTATCAACAAGCACCTAGACCTTCCCGCGGCCTCTAAAGTCCTGCGACATTAGGTGCATGAAGACTACGACAATGTCATACGGAACTTCATAAATGCGAGCAAAACCACCCCGCGGCGAACACACCAGCAGAAAAAGCTGGCTTACCAGCAACTTCGACCGAGGCAAGGACACGCCACACCAGCGGCCATCAGGCTGGATAGACATCTATACGACAGCTTAGGCAGCAAACGATAAGAAAATCAATAAGTCCAATGTCGGCAGGTTCAACAAGTCAAGCCCATCGATGGTGACAGTAGACCGTTTAAAAAATGGGGAGTCAGCCAACGTTTTACGAAGTTTCAGCAGCCATAAAGAAACCATGTTATGATGAGGTATTTCATGTTCTCAGATTGTTAACCGACTATGTATCACAATAAACGCCGACAGGCCGTCTTCACTGCATGCATACCAAGTATCGAAAAGAAGACCAGACCACCCATTCCAGTTAGCCATGTAAACACACACAGACACAAACAGAGTGCACGGGACGCCAGTTTGACATCAAGGAGCTTTGATGTCCGTTCATCACATAAAGGTCACAAATACCCTCTCCCCGAAGACATTACCTAGGAAGGAAGTATGCATCTGTAAGTATGTTAACGTCAATGCAGTAAATTCCAACAGGATAAAGTGGATTAGTGGGCGACCGTTGCCTAGGCTCTGCTCACCGTCTGAAATTATGGCGGCGTACTGAAGGAGCAATCTCCGTGTAATGTTAACTAACCAATAATCTTTGTGAGGAACCAATTCTGCTTCGGTTGGGTCAATATTTATTGCTTGGCGTTTTTTTAATAGAATTCTACAGTACATGTACATGTTATTTATTCGTCTAGACCAAAGGTCAGGAACGTATGGCTCGCGAGATTTCAAACTAAAGTTTACTTATTTACATCGATTTTGCATGCTTTTGCAATTTTGCGCGTTTCAAAAATAATATTTCTAAAGAAATCGCTATTAACTTCTATAGCGCAGTATGGCTTCTTTTAAGACAAGCGTTCCTTTATTGCAGCACAACATTGGAGGACACAGTGAGGTCCGAGTTTGCATAACGCGGATTCCCTTAGGAAATTCACGAGGTTTTATGAGGAAATGACCCTTGGCTTAGTGGCAAATATTCAGACGCGTAATTGTGGAGGAATTCGTTCTGACAAAGTTGGGGAAACTTGGATGCCACTTATGGCTAAGTACCTGTTACAATCCGGCAGCTAGACGGCGGAAAAGACAAGAGAGCCGGTGTCTGTGAACAACCACTCTATTCCAGGCCAACAGCTTATCAGCGTTAGCTTATTTATGGGGCTTCGGCCGTTCTGAAACATTCTTGCCAATGGCGTGCGAGTAGCGTTCTAGAACATCCTGTCCCAGAGAGTGATTAGTCCTTTCCTACGCTGAGATGCCCCCAAATAGTTGTATCGCAGGCGTGACTGTGTGTGCCTGATTTTATTTTTTTCGAATGGACGACAT